CCTAAAAGCCAAACAAAAGATTTGCTTGATTGAAATCTTGAAAAATTTTGGTTAAAAAAAGTGACAAAAAGCAATTCCAACCGCCGTCAACTTTTCAACAAAAAACCAAACAATTCTGGAGTGAAATCTGGAACCCTTCATGTTTATATATATATATATATATATATATATAAAGCTTTGATAACAAAGTTTTCATGTGATTACGACCTAGCCGCCGTCAACTTTTCACCAAAAAAAATAGCCAACAGACACTAATAACAAGATCTATTGTTTCAATCATGACCATCCTTGACCACGACTTAAAATCAAACATAAAATCGATAAAAATAAATAGTAAAATAATACATAAATTTTATCGGATTCTAAATTTATATACGATATACTTTGATACCACATGGAAGAAATTGTAATAAATCGTATAAGAAATTTTAATAAATCGTATATGAAATTTAGAACACTTAAATTATAAGGTTTAGAACATATATGTATAAGTCATGATACTCGATCTCTAAATTTCTTTCATAGAATGGCAAAGTCTTCCTCCCCTTCTTCAAAACAATAGGTTGCTTCCAATAGAACAAGCCAAATTAGGTTGATGAAGTGGAGAGAGACCTAACCTTTGATTTATAATAAAATCTAATAGACTTTTCCATTACGGGCCACAATTAGATTAAGACCTATACTTAACCTCATCTACCACATTAATTAAAAAGATGTAAATAAGTCCATCAAAATAAATCATTTAATAATATTGGGATCATCTCATTAGACCATAAATTTAGTCTGTTTTTCACAAATAAAAAAATTAACTATCAATTAATGGAAGTCCAATATGAAAAAAAAATCTAACGACCTACTCCACTTCCAAAGGCGGCAACGGTGGCCGGAGACTTTTATTAATAAAGTAATGTGTGAGAGAAGGAGAGAGCAAAGGTAAGTTTTGTGAGAGGTCGGCTAGCTAGGAGAGAGAAATAGTTGTGTGGGAGGTGTGTAGAGAGATGCCCCTCATGTGAAGAGGGCTTATAATATAAAGGCACAAAATCTTAGTTGAGGCGGTGACGTGAGGATAAATATACTAGTTCTTCGGGGAGGATAACTACAGTTAAGGATAAATACAATTAAATATAGTCTTAATCTTCGAGAGTAGCTATCTCAACTATTGCTCCCCACGTGTACTAATCCTCTTGGACTCTTTGATCTTTAAACTGGGCAGAATTCATGAATTGGGTTTGACCCACTTTGTAGCCGATTCGGACTTAATTAATTGGTTAGATCTGACCTAGTCGAATCTGAGCCCATCACTATCGATTCTCAATTTTTGATATTGTAGAATGACTTCAGACACATGTTATTGCTAATGTATTTTATATCACCAAAAAAGAAAAGTGAAGTGGTTAAATTATTTGCACACATAACATGCAAGAAATGCAAGAGAAAATTTAACTTGACGGTAAATAAAGAACACAAAGAAATCATTGTTTCTTTGTGCAAAAAATGCACATTTTGAATCGCAAAAAAAATAAAAGAATATATATATATATATGTGTGTGTGTGTGTGTGTGTGTGTGTGTGAACGATTAGAATTCTAATTGTTTCCAATATTCTACGAAATTTGTCAAAAATAAAAATTACAATCCAACAAATTAATATAAAAGCACGTGTCATTTAAAATATAACAAAATTGACAATACTAAATTCAAAATATCTTATGATTTATTATTATTTTTTAAATTTTTTAAATTGATAAATTAAAAGGTAAATTTGAAAGTCTAAACGATGAAATATGGTCAAAAACTAAAAGAGTTCATAACAATGTTATAAGTTTTAATCATTTGACCCGATTTGAATCAATCAAATAACAATAATCACACATAATTTTGAAATTGACCTATTTTATCCATACTATCACTTTGTAATCTTCTATTGTCTTTTGAATGCTCGTGACTCTCACTGTCTATGTAATCTGTTGGCACATGTTTTTCATTAAAATTTTATCTTCATACTCGAGTTTGAGGATGCTGAGTCCCACTTGCTTCTTTATATTTGTCCCATGATGGGTTACACTCTAGTTTAGCTTTCCTCTCCCACCCAAAACCCTAAACTCTAAAAGCATCTCTAGACAGGACCTTGTTTTGAATCCTAGGGTAAAAATGACATAAAATTCGTTTTCAATGACAGACTCATACCCCATACCAAATGAAAGAAAGCCCTTTTCTAAACCCAAATGAAGGGAGACCCAAATATCATACTTTTTTTTTTCCAACAGAAATAAATTACCAAATGCGTCTGGATTGACTTCGTCTTTTACGTTAGTCTCACGAGTAATGCTAGATGAATTTAAAAATTAAACTTGATAATCTCAACCATTGAATAGGTAGTGAGTCCTAATAAATGTTGGGACCCACAATAAAATCAATAGTTGAGATTATCAAGTTTAATTTTTAAGTTCACCTAGTATTACTCTAATCTCACACTTCTCTTCAACCCAAGATCACAATGGTTGCTGGTCTCGTCTTCTACCCAAGATCTCAACGGTCGCCACTATTTCTTTAGGGTAAACTCTTTGGTGGTGTTTGGTTTGAGGGATAAACAGGGATAAAACTAGTTGGATTGGATAAACATATCCGGGACCCACATATCCTTGCTTTGGATAGAAAAAACGGGGGAGGATAAACGTTGGCTTTCAATTCATCGGCCGTAGGAAACTCTACCATTTATCCCTCCCGAAGAGGATATCAGTAACCCATGTGTTGTGTGGGACAAAGTTTCTCACCAAACGGATAATATATCAATTTACTATATTGCCCCCATAACAGTGGATGCTGAGGTTAAAGCGCTGTCTGTCTCTCTCTCTCTTGCCATGACAGGATCTCTATGTTTGATTTTCTTCATTGTTGGAACTTCCCAGCCATAAGTCATCCAAGCAAATCCATGCCCACCTCCTCAAATTTCACCTAGTCAAAAACCCAATTGTCATTGGCCCAGTTCTCAATTTTGGGGCTACCTCCAAGAATCCCTTGTTCTTCTCTTACCCTCAATGTGTTTCAAAGCCTCCAGTACAAAAATCTTCATGTACAATAAAATGATCAAAGGATATATCAAAGAAAATAACGACTGAAGCATCTAGAGAAGCCGAAAATATGAAAGAATTCTCTCTCTCTCTCTCTGTCTCACTCTTTCTGTCTGAAGCATCTGGAGAAGCCGAATTCATCTGGAGAAGGCGAAACATCTGGAAGATGAGCAATTTAATCAAATTAAAATCCAGTTTATACCCTAGTGGTTCGGTTTGTTTGCATCTTACCCCCTATGTTCAGAAATTAACACATAATTCTCTTATATTTTTGAACTTAATTGCTATCGTTAGAAATTCTCTGTCAATTGAGATAATGTAGCATGCAAGCACATGATTTGAAAGTAAGTGTGTGAAATTTTTTGGTTTAAGTCAACTTTGAATGAAAGGGTTTGAGTCTTATTAAAAAATCACAATTGTTCTTTGATGTTGGGTCTTATTACATTTTAAATTTTTAAGATGTTAAAAATTTATGCTCATCCATTTGTTTCATTATATATGAACTCTAAAAAATTAAGATTTTAAGTAAACCAACATAATTTAAATTGAATTGATTTGTGCCATTAATTCAGGCAATAATATTAAAATACCCTAAAATTCATGGAAAATAAATTGCATTTGGATTATTGAAAAAATTTAATATGGTTTGGATTAATTTTACTATTTATTGAAAAAAAATAATTAAGTTTTATTTTTAAACACACAACTTCGGATTTTATAGAAAGAAACAAATAATGACTTAGGCATGAGTTGTATCAATTTATATATTGTTTTTCTATTGAAAATTATTATTTTATTTTTTCATGATGCATATGATTTTTTTGATTATAAGTGTATTGTACAAATTAAATTAAATAAATGAACAAAACATTTATTGCAATATTTTGTAAAAATGTGTTATTTATTGATTCATATTTTTGTTTCATAAATAAGACAATACTAATGAATTGAACTTTTTTTCATTTCATTCCAAACATGGTATAAGATTGGATAACCTTTTTTTTACACAAGGGTACAATAGTCATTTTAGTATATTTTATCTTCACATATGAATGAGACCCACAAATCAAATGAAACATATCCAAAGATGGGATAGGATTTGAATCCGATCTATATAATCCTCTAATCCGGACCACTTTACATTAGATTGGATTGGATTTGAATCCAAGCCTAATCCTATCACGGTGATCCAAACACCATTCTCCTCTCTTCACTACTCAATGTTCTATGGAATGGGACAGAGACAGATTTTTACACAAGCTTATTTAAACAAAAAGTGGATTTATATAACTGATTTGTATCTTTACACAGATTTCTTTAAAATCTTCTTCTTCCCAAGCTTATTTCTACACACGCATAGAGACAGATTTTTATTCGGTGGAATGGGAGAAATCTGGAATGAGAAAAATATGTTGTTTTTATATGGGTTTCATTGATTTGCTTTGCTTATTGTGGAGTGGAAAAATATCTGTTCGTGGAATATGTTTCACAATTTTTGTTATGAAAAAAAAATAGGAGTAAAAAAAAGTTTTGGATGCAAAAATGATTAAAAAAAAAAAAAAAAACCTCTTAGAATAAGCAGGGAATTTTTAAAGAAGATTTGGGTATTAAAAAGGGTTTACCCATTGGAGACTATTATACCGAATCAAGCTTTTTATTTTTATTTTTTTAAACTCAAATTTGGGTAATACTATGGACCTCCATTGAAGATGATCTAACAGATGCAATTTCTAATGATATACTTTTTTCCAATTTAGCGATTTTGTCAAATTTCAATCAACTCCAATGCGTTTGATTCATACAACACTTAAAATTAGACCCAATAAATGTTATAATTGGACATTAAATTTTGATAAATTCTACGGTACTGAAAAAAAAAAACCGGTCAACCACAAACACTTATAATCGATCATAAAAAATTTAGTATCAACTCTAATCTTTTATAATTGATTATATCTTTTAAAATTATAATTTACGCCTCAAAATAATAATAACGTAACATTTTTCTTAAATTTGATAGAAACCAATAAAAGTTTTAAAGTTGAGGATTTCAAAACACATCCATAGTGGACGCCAAATCATCGTTGGTGTGGTGCACAACTCCAACCCCTTTCAAGCCGTCACAGAGGACTTAGTCAGGTTAGGACAAACCGTCATATCATCTTCAAGAACCCCACTAGCCCCAACCTTTCCTTGTCTGGATTGTAGGAAAATACAAAGGAAAAATGTCAGTACACACTGATACTTACCGGTCATTTTCATGAGTTCACTTCAAAAATGATTATTTTGTTTCTTTCGTACACGACAGATTCTGTGTTCCCCTGGGTGTCTCTTGTACATAATTTTTTATTCTTAAAATATTTGATATATTTCACTTTGTATATTCCAAAAGACCAATATAACTTAATATTTAATAATTAATGACAAAAATACTTTTTGAACTACTTTAATTATGACAATTGACATTTTTTACTCTGCAATATTTTGAGTTCGAGTATTGCATGAGCGTTATATATTTAGATGGTATAGTTTAGTTTGGGAATTATAAATCCCACGACACGAAGATTCGGAAGTATACAGTTTCCGTTCACTTTTATCCATGAAAGCAACTGGTTTATTGTATTCTTTATAGACTTGTGTGACCGACCAGTGTCAGTTGATTTCAAGGTACAATCTCCTGTTGTTGCCAATTTCAAACAAAATATCTACCTGCCACGTCACCCCTCCACCACACAACAAAATATCCACCTGCCACGTCACCCCCCCCATACGTGTAAGACACAACAAAAACTAATAAATATCAAACGAAGTCCGATGGTGAGCCCCACAAACATCTGGGTTTTAATACACACCACTCAAATTGCTTACAGCCCTGTTGACACCCAGCCTGGCTTCTCATCAAAGCATTCCGCATCCCCGACACACACACACATAATCATCAAATTATCCATATAGACATCTATATATATACTCAACCCCATGCACCCCAAAAACAACAGCAACTCAAACCCAGTAGTAGCAAGTGCTTCTAAGGAGGAGTGTACTTGATACCCATTCGCTCAAAAACCTCAACTGAACTTCTATACAGCTATCAATGGAGTTTTTCTCAGGCTACTTTACTGAACCAACCCCATTTGGGTCAGATTTCTTGCAACCTGACATGCCCGAATCTTCATTGGTGTCCGATGGTGGTAGTGCTACTAGAGATAACCATTCAGACGAGGAGGTAATGTTGGCTTCAGATCATCCTAAGAAGCGTGCTGGTCGGAAGAAGTTCAAGGAGACTCGCCACCCGGTTTATAGGGGTATTAGGAGGAGGAACTCCGGCAAGTGGGTGTGTGAGACAAGAGAACCGAATAAGAAATCAAGAATATGGCTTGGAACATTCCCAACTGCAGAAATGGCAGCGAGAGCTCATGATGTGGCGGCGATAGCACTTAGAGGACGGTCAGCTTGCCTGAACTTTGCTGACTCTGCTTGGAGATTACCAATTCCGGCTTCTGTGGAGGCTAAGGACATTCAACAAGCGGCGGCAGAAGCGGCGGAGCATTTCGGCCATCAAAGGCCGACGGGAGTGTGGCAGTCTCCGGTGATGATCATGGTTATAATGAGGAAAGCGCGGTGACATTGTCTGAGGAGAACATGTTTGATACGGATGAGGAGGTGGTTTTCCACATGCCAGAATTGCTTTCAAGCTTGGCGGAAGGGTTGATGCTACCACCACCACCTCACTGTTGGGTGGCAGAAGGGTATGGTAGAGATGGACTTGAATTTGATGATGACGTGTCATTATGGAGTTATTATATTTAATACGGTTGAATTGAAGTAATTATGATAGTGAAAGTATGGGTTAATGCTAAGAATTTTAATCCGTACTTATATTTTTTACTAGTACGGGATGAATGATAGGAACATATATATGTAGAACATGTTCCAAAAAATTAGTGTAAAAGAAGAGTGAGTGAGTGAATGATACTTGTGTGGTACTTGTTTGTGGTTAGTATTGAAGTTTTGATTAATTATGTGTAACTTTTCTTCACAAGTCATATGTCATAGTCAAGCCTCCACAATTAATCTCGTCTCCGTCTCCAGTCTGATTCAAAACTAAAGTATTAATAAAGAATAAGTCTTTTATGGTCTTTGTTAAAATTTGAACTCAAACGTACAAATTTACTGTTTATTTTCCTTACTACTTGAACTAACCAATAGCTCACACCGTTAAATCTGATTCAATTAAATATGGGACTAGGATATGCTCTTCCTGTTGACAAATATGTTGGGCAATATAATGACAAAGGAGAAAGTGGTGTGCTTGTGCAGCTTTGTCTGCATGGATATGATGTATATCTCCTACCTATGCTGGAACTTGCCTATGAAATTGAGGTTTATTTTATTTTTTTTTGTCCTTCTTTCTTTGGTTTCAATCTAGAAGAGAGAACTGGCTGAATGGCCAATAAATATTTGGGTATATTTCATCGACACTCCCTAATAGTCCTATAGTCCTAATTTTACCGTACTCCCTTCTAGATCACATATTCACTTTACACCCTTTGTCACTGACAACTATAAAAAGAGTGATATCACCATCATTTTCTTCATAAAATATCAATTTTACCCCCTATCCTCATGACCACTCCACCCTATTTCTGCCTCCACTTACACAACTGTTTGCAACATGTTCCCTTTCCTACCTTATTTACACACATCACTGCACCATCATATTAACACCACCAATTAACCTTAATTTTTATCAAATTAATATTCACATACATCAAATTAACATTTAATTCATCTAATTGTTTGGTTTGCATCTAGTGTTGGGGTAAATGCTGGTATAGCATAGGAAGAAAATCAATTCCATCTTTTAACAGTAATAAAGAAAACAATTCCTTATAATACATTAAAATTTTAAGTTTAATACTTCTTTCTTTCCTCCAAATAAAGTCTTTAGATCAAATCCAAGACACTCTTTTAAACATACAGGCGAGTTTGAAGTAACTTTTGTGATATAAACATTTCTCTACTTATTCTGTCATAAATAGTGAATAGTTTTGATAAATTTTGATAGTATGTCGCCGCCTAATAATGATATTACGAAATTAAAAGAAGGCAATAAAATATTCAAAGCAATTTTACCTTAAGAAGGGCCTCTGTAAGATTACCCAGCAGTATGCTGCCACCTAATAATGATATTATGAAATTAAAAGAAGGCAATATAATATTCAAAGCAATTTTACCTTTAGATGGGCCTCTGTAAGATTACCCAGCCATTGCTAAGAATATAAGAATCAGTTGTTATCAGTTGTAGACGCTTCTCCAATTTCACGTTCTAAATGCTGGCTAGCTTGTTCAAAGGATAGGAGTTCTTGCATGAGTGTGGCAAGCTTGGCTACATTCTCCTCATGAATACGTTGGGGAACCTTGTCTTTGTATCCAGAAGCATTCAACGTCTTTGTAAGACCGTCATGTTGCCTGCAAATTAAGACACAATTATTCCACCCACACAAAAATACAGGCAGGAAGACTCTCCACCAGTTTATATAAAATCCATGCAAAAAATAGTAGTAATGATGAAACATTGCATTCACGCCTGTACACTGAGAATATTAAGTATCACAAGTTCAACCTCACTTAAAAGCTAGCAGTATGAGAGAAATGGAAGTCCGACTTGCAGGTTCAAAACTCTTCACTTTCGTGTATGATTAAACCTCATTTTATCACTTGTTTGTAATATTCAGATTTAATGATATTTTTTTTCCTAGTCGTACAATGATATACCTAAATCTATACTACTAATAAAAGTACCTTAAGTGAAAAACCTTCACTATTTTACCCTAATAAAAAATTTTAAATACCATATTATCTTTACATAGTTAATATTTAAATTACAATAACAACCTTATGTATTTAAATCTTTAAATTACCCTCTAATATATCTTTTAATTCTCTATTATGCTTGTATAAACATCAACATCTATAAAAAAATTTAATTGGCTATGCAACCCTTAAAAAAATATATGCATCACTATAGTTTTCAATAACATTTTCAAAAAGTCTATCAATAGATCATTACTCTTTTCAAATAAAAAAAGAATATTATGTCTATATATGTGTATTTCTTTCATCCTAAGAAGCATGGACACGGGACACGGAACACGGATACGACACAACACAGACATGACATTTCTCAAAAAAGTAGAACACAGACACGTTGGAGATATGCTAAAAAAAAAATTATATTCTATATATAGTATTATATAATTTATTGCAAATATAGTGATAATAATATATAATTCATAAAAGATTCAGAATTTTATGATAAGTAAATCTAATGTCTAGTCATCTGTATGAATTTTTAGACTAAAACATCCTCATAATCGTCAATAATCATCAAATTTTTTGTAGTCAATGTGTATCTAATATATAATTTAAATAATTGCTCTCATTTTCTCAATTCTTATTTTCTAAACTTTTATGCATCTTTTGTTTTTATTATTATATTTGGAGTACAATTTTAACATGACTAGTGTTAGTAATTATAAGTTTTAAAATTTTTAAACTTTGTTAATCACATTTCAATACATGTCCATTGTTTAGTAGTAGACACATTGTAAAGAAGTGTCGGACACATCACCAAAGAAGTGTCCGATACATGTCCGAAATTAAAAATTTATTATTTAATTATGGACATGGATAAAGAGTATCGGACACATGTCCAAGAGTGTCTGAAGAGTGTCGATGTTTGACACGTGTCCGACACGAATACGTCACCTTCTCGAGAGTGTCCGTGCTTCATAACTTTCATTTATACTACTAATAATTTATATTACTAAAAAAAGTACCTTAGAATGAAAAACTTTTGATTCATTGTTTTACTCTTATAAATAATTTTAAATACCATACTATTCTTCCATAATTGAATATCTAAATTACCATCATATACTTATGTGTTCAAATCTCCAAATTACCCCTATTATCTCTTTTAATTAACTATTCATTATATATAAGTATTAGTATCTATGAAATTTTTTAATTGACTACGTTACCCTTAAAAAATATATGCATCTTACAGTTTTCAATAAAATGTTTAAAAAATATTTAAAAACTTCATCAATCTAACGTTACTCATTTCAAATATAAGGATAACATTATATTTATATGTGTATTTTTTTATCCATAATTTCAACCGTTTCATTTTTAAGATAAAAAAAATCTTTTATGTAGTTTTTTTAAAATAATTTATGTTAAATTAAACATAATTCTTCAATCACAATAAATTTTTCATGTTTATAAAAAAAAATTAGTGTATTTTTAAGTAAACTTAAATCTTAGAATTCTAATATTCTTTTAAAATATATATTAAAGTGTAGTATATTATACAAAACTAATAAAATAAGTAATGCTTCCACATACCTCTAATGAATCCAACTCTCCATTTTTCTTTTCCTTCTCCCCCTCTATCTCACTTTTTTTTTCTTTGTTGCCCCTTACTTTGGTCGTTTAGAGTTTTATCTATCCAATAATACTATCCTATTTAAATCACATGTAGAATAGTTCTAATAAGTCTCTAGGGCAAGACTTTTATTAGAGACATATTAGTTTTCTTTAATTATTTTTATCCTTATATAAAAAATTACTCCTAGGTAGCCAATACACTAACATAAAATAATTTTTTTTATGGGTAATTACATTCTCCTCTCCTTAAGAGAATTTCATCCTTGAAATTTATATACCTTGTGAAAACAAATGAGGATATTATTTTTTCTACTTTTCCAAAGAACTTTTTCAATTTGGTGGATCTTCGGAAACAATTGACCAACAAAATGGTTTTATTACACAAAATTTATTGGCTCCTCAACATATATAAGAGTTCTCTTCAGCTAAATAAACTAACTCAACTAACATATTAGAATGATTAGGTATATACACTTACTAGACATATTGAAACAAACTATGTCGTGAAACCAAAACAAGTCTGTAAATAGAACAAAACTTAAAACTATAACCACCATCCTCTCTATAATCTCATATGTCCATTTATATCTTAGACTAAATTTTCCGTCGGATTTCTAGTGCACTACGCGTGAAACTTAATGCCAACGTATGAATAATATGCTCCGACTGCCCGTCAAATTGAGAATTATAAATTATACTAAATTTCAAAGTGTTATTCATAGCGTGTTGCAAACTAGGCCAAATCTGAAGGTAAATTTTGGACTTCTATCTATTACACTAGATAAAGGTATTCCACACAATCATAGGCTCTCATCAAATAACTCTTGAGTATGCTTTTAAACGAAGCTTTAAGTTTAATTATCAAAACTGACTAGACTTTGTCAATCAATCTATAATAACCCAAATAGATTCATGCACAATCTATATATCAAAAGTCCCTATAGAAACTTCATAGTAATATACTCTCATTTCCATTCAAAAATTAAAAAAAGTTGTAATAAACATGTCGGACACTAATATCTAGTCTTTTCCATCTCCTTTTCCTCAAATTAACCTCATTCTTAGTAAATACTTCTTTCAACCTTTAACAATTAAAATAAATCTCACATGTCTTACTGTATAAACAATCTCTCCATAACCTCAAAACAAATACAATTACATCTAACCCAAAATCATGAGTAGGGTAATTCCTTCTTTACTACAAGAATACACAGGTGTAACACCAATGAATATAGTAACATATGAATTTAGATAAAGTTGAGATACTCAATTTAGTCAATCATCAAAACAAATGTAGCATTTGTTAATCTCAACAACTTCACCAAAAATACAATATAACTATCTAGTTGCACATACTGTTTTCAGAACATCATCATTTCTTTCTTTTAAGTAAAGATAACTGAGCTTAAGATCAATCTTACTAAACTCTAGCGCCTCACAACTGATCAAATAAATCATCAATACCACATAAAAGATATTTACTACTTCTTGTTGTCTTATTCAGCTCATAGTAATCGACGTACCATTTCACAGTCCAATCATATTCTTTACAAACACAACATGAGCACCCCCACAACAAATTGCTAAGTTGAATAAATCTTCGGTCTAATATATTTTTAATTGAATTCTCATTNGTAGTAATTGACGTACCATTTCACAGTCCAATCATGTTCTTTACAAACACAACATGAGCACCCCCATAACAAATTGCTAAGTTGAATAAATCTTCGGTCTAATATATTTTTAATTGAATTCTCATTCTTCTAGTTCAGCGAGAACCATCCAATACGGAGAAATAAATATAAGTACCCCAGGGCTACTAAAAATGTAANATAGTAATCGACGTACCATTTCACAGTCCAATCATATTCTTTACAAACACAACATGAGCACCCCCACAACAAATTGCTAAGTTGAATAAATCTTCGGTCTAATATATTTTTAATTGAATTCTCATTCTTCTAGTTCAGCGAGAACCATCCAATACGGAGAAATAAATATAAGTACCCCAGGGCTACTAAAAATGTAAAATTTATCTCTCTCTAATGATACCATAGACAACTTCTCTTTAAATACATCCAAAAATTTCTTTTTTATTATTATCTATTCAGGAGACACTCACTCACTTTGTGTATCAATAATACTATCAATGTTTCCCTAAAAATCTTTACTTAAAAATCTTTATTCACTTGTTTTCGAGCTTGCACACGTAGATTTAAGACTGGGGATTAAAGAATTCTTGTCCCCTCGAAACTAAATCCACATGACTGTTTTTTCAAGACAACCAACTTTCGCATGTTGTGTGACTAACCAGTCCGCAATTAATATCATATTATAACCCCTAAGGTCTAAAAATACTCAATAAACTTGTATCTGTTATTCTCCAATANCATGACTGTTTTTTCAAGACAACCAACTTTCGCATGTTGTGTGACTAACCAGTCCGCAATTAATATCATATTATAACCCCTAAGGTCTAAAAATACTCAATAAACTTGTATCTGTTATTCTCCAATATAGACCTTACACCTTGGGCACACAATATCACCTAACTAAAAACCACCTGTAAGAGTTACTAGGGTCAAATCAAATTCAAGTGTTCTGGGTTCCACACCCAATCACACTGCTACTCTAGGAGACACGGAAGAATGTATAAACCCTAAAATTCTATTAGTGTTGGTCACATTTCTTACCACACCCTTATCATCCGTTTTTGCAACTATCTCTTGTTTGTACAAAATACCAAGCAAATTAATTAGTCTTAGTCACTACACAAATCATTTTATTAACTATTAACATCATTCTGTATCCCTCGATCTAAAACCGATTAAAGCTTACACAACCATTCAGATCCAACCTAATCCTCTAGTAATTTATAAAACTATGATCTGTGATGAGAANAACTATTAACATCATTCTGTATCCCTCGATCTAAAACCGATTAAAGCTTACACAACCATTCAGATCCAACCTAATCCTCTAGTAATTTATAAAACTATGATCTGTGATGAGAATCGTGTAAGAATTGAATAGATATTTTAGATTAATCATGATAATAGTTTGAATACTTTTAATATTCATCTTTTAAGTAATTTCTTTTAACGTTTAAGCATTTAATTGTNTAATAGTTTGAATACTTTTAATATTCATCTTTTAAGTAATTTCTTTTAACATTTAAACATTTATTTATCTTTACTTATTTTTTTAGGGTTTTAGTTTCCCTATATAAAAGGATGCATGTATTATTTAGATTAGACT